ATGAAATCAGCTGTAATTGTCAGTGTTGTGTCGTATCTGCAAAATAAGTATCGTCGAAATGAGGCTGATCCCATTATTATTAGGGTCGGGTAGAATAAAAGTTGAAAGTGCAATTTTCAAAAAAACATGCTGGTAAAATTTTACTATTCGTTTCTTTTTTAAGCTCGAGTTTCATCTCCAACTACTTATTGTTTTCATCATAATTATAGTTACGAAGAAATGGTAATATAATTTGATTTAATTTAATTAGTAAAGAATAATCAAATTTACACGTGTATACATGATTGTACTGGTCCTGTGTGGTATCACATATTGCGCAGCTACCCTAATTATTATAATAAAAATGGTATTGGATTATAATCATAACGTACTAGCGAAATGATCTGGTATTGTAAAATAATTTTTTTATATGCTGTACACCAGGTGAAGAATCAGTCATGTAATATCGATGTTCACTTCTGTAGTTGAAATCCTACACCTAATTACCTCATATTTATGTTAGAGACAGCATTGATACTTTTGTATTGAGTATTACATATTGTATTGTATATGTTAGGCTTCTAAATTGAATGATTTGTAAAATTATATGTAATACATAAGAAAATAACAAAAGAGTGATTCATACAATATACATACAGTACATAAATAATATCAAAATTATAAAAGCAGCAATCCTTTGATTTTGTAAAATTCATGGTTTAATAAATTTTTTGACTAAAAATGAAACAAGCACCTAAAGTATCTAAAAAACAAAATTTAAAATATCTAAAACAACCTGTAACAAGTAAACAAATATCAAAAAAAGAAATACTTTTGGAGATTGGGAAAGAATCGACCTATTGAGAGAGTTGAACTTTTCAACACGAGGAATAGGAAAGTCATTTGATGTTGGTTCTTCTGTGGTATCTAAACTTGTAAAAGAAAAAGAGAAACAGGAAAGATTAAAGATCGAGAAAGATCCAGATGTCTACGAATTCTAACACCCAATGATAAAAAAAAAATAATCGACATATTGTCTTCAGGAAAAGGCTCAACAGCGGTTAAGATTCATTCAAAGTATGTGGCTGAAATAGGCAAATATATTTCAGTAGAAACTATATGAAATACATTAAGAAGGTGTGGTTATAAAGCCAGGTTTAAACCTAGAAAACTTGCAATAAATGAAAAAGCCAGATTAAAACGTCTTCGTTTTGTCAAAAAGCATCTTAAATAGACTGTGGATGATTGGAGGAAGGTTGTTTTCTCTAATGAG